GTGCCGTCAGTCAGTGCCCAGCAGTGATACCAGTCAGTGCCGTCTATCAGTACCCATCATCAGTGTCACCTATCAGTGCCGCCTATCAGTGCTGCATATTAGTGCCGCCTATCCGTGACACCTCATTAGTGCTGTCTATCAGTGCCGCCTATCCGTGACACCTCATTAGTACTGCCTATCAGTGCCCTTTAGTGCTGCCTATCAGTGCCCATCAGTGCTATCAGTGCCCATCATCAACGCACATCAGTGAAGATGAAAAAATGCCTGTTTGAAAAATTTTATAATAGAAACAAAGAAACTTTTTTTTTTTTCAAATTGTTTTGCACTTTTTTATTTATAGCGCAAAAAGTAAAGCGCCCAGCGGGGAGTAAATACCACCAAAAGAAAAATCTATTTGTGAGGAAAAAATGATCAAAATTTCATATGGGTACAATGTTGCATGACCGCGCAATTGTCAATCAAAGTGCGGCAGCGCTGAAAGCTGAAAATTGGCCTGGTAAGGAAGGGGGTATAAGTGCCCGGTAGGCAAGTGGTTAAGCCAGTACATGTCCGGGCCCCGTCTGAAGTTTGCTAGAGAGCATTTGGATAATCCAGAAGAGGATTGGGAGAATGCCATATGGTCAGATGAAACCAAAATAGAACTGTTTGGTAGAAACACAACTCGTCGTGTTTGGAGGAAAGAGAATGCTGAGTTGAATCCAAAGAACACCATACCTACTGTGAAGCATGGGGGTGGCAACATCATGCTTTGGGGCTGTTTCTCCACAAAGGGACCAGGACGACTGATCCATGTACAGGACAGAATGAATGGGGCCATGTATCGTGAGATTTTGAGTGCAAACCTCCTTCCATCAGCAAGGGCATTGAAGATGAAACGTGGCTGGGTCTTCCAACATGACAATGATTCCAAACATACCGCCCGGGCAATGAAGGAATGGCTTCGTAAGAAGCATTTCAAGGTGCTGGAGTGGCCTAGCCAGTCTCCAGATCTCAACCCCATAGAAAACCTTTGGAGGGAGTTGAAAGTCCGTGTTGCCCAGCGACAGCCCCAAAACATCACTGCTCTAGAGGAGATCTGCATGGAGGAATGGGCCAACATACCAGCAACAGTGTGTGCCAACCTTGTGAAGACTTACAGGAAACGTTTGACCTCTGTCATTGCCAACAAAGGATATATAACAAAGTATTGAGATGAACTTTTGATATTGACCAAATACTTATTTTCCACCATAATTTGCAAATAAATTCTTTCCAAATCAGCCAATGTGATTGTCTGGATTTTTTTTCTCATTTTGTCTCTCATAGTTGAGGTCTACCTATGATGCCAATTACAGGCCTCTCTCATCTTTTTAAGTGGGAGAACTTGCACAATTGGTGGCTGACTAAATACTTTTTTGCCCCACTGTATCTATCTATCTATCTATCTATCTATCTATCTAGATAGATAGATATATATACTGTATGTTGAAATGCGTTTTTATTTCAAAATATATGAAAAATATATGAAAAAAATCTGAAGATTATATTTAAAAAATATCTATTTTTAAAAATATAAATTTTTTTAAATATATTCTTCACATTTTAACATATATTTTTACATATATTTGTAAATGCATTCCAAAAATGAAGATTTGTATTTTTAAAGACATACAGTATATTTGAAATGTATTTTTTTAAATATTTTTCATATATTTTGTAATAAAAACGCATTTCAACATACAGTGTGTATATATATATATATGTGTGTGTGTATATATATAGATGTGTGTGTATATATATAGATGTGTATGTGTGTATGTGTACATATATATATATATATATATATATATATATAATAATACATTTCAAGTATACTGTATCTCTTTAAAGATACAAATCTACATTTTTGGAATGCATTTACAAATATATGTAAAAATATATGTTAAACTTACTTTTTTAGATATTAAAATAAATCTGAAGAATATATTTAAAAAATATATATTTTTAAAAATATATTTTTTTAAATATATTCTTCAAATTTTGTTCATATATTTTTCAGATATCATGTAATAAAAATGCATTTCAACACACAGTGTATATATATATATATATATATATATATATATATATATATATATATATATATATGTATATATAGAATATGGCCAAAATGTTAACATTTCAAATATATGCCAATATATTTGGTAAGAATTTTTTAAAAATATATTTAAAATATATTTTTATTCCATACGGGTATCACTCTTTATACGGCTATTTGCACATTTTTTATTTATATTCACTAGTATAATGTCATTTTAGGAACAATTGCCTAGCGGAAGCGCTTCACCTGTTCAGTTTATATATGTTTAATTAGTGATATAATTTTTCATCTCCTGACGATCGCAGTGATACCATATGTGTATGTTGTTTGCACCCGTAGTACAGCCCAGATATAATAGTGTACATTTTGTTTTACCTAAAACACACTGACACACTGACACTATTTTTTTTTCATTAAATCCTGACCTTTGACCCTGACCTTGACCCAAACACTTACCCTGGCACTGAACTAGATCAAACCTTGATCTAGGTATTTTTTCTTTAATTTTTAATATTTATCTCCTTTTTTTTTTTTTAACATTTTTTTTCCTTCTATGCCAGGAGTTAGAGAGATACAATGTATCTCTCTCCTCCAATTATAGAGAGAAAAAAAACTGTGATAGCCCAACAGAGGCTATCACAGCGATCATGTGACCCAGAATCGGGAGTCCCAGGTCCCGATTATTAGAAGGGGACACAGGGCTCTCAGTGACACTGCGATCTTTGTGCTTGTAGCGCGCCTTGCGGCACGCTCCCAGAAACACGACAGGTACACAAATGTGCAGCCCCACGGAAAACAGCCCAGTTCTGTGAGGCCGCATATTTGTGTTACATTTGCGTCAAGGGGTTGAATGCCAATGTATGCATGGACACATAGGCTATACTGCAGGGGTGTTTAGAGGCAGAAAACAAACTCCAGACACCCCTAAGAGCCACGTTAAAAATGGCCAGTGCGCATGAGGCCTTACTGTTCTGAAAAGGGCACACTTTGGCTAATATACAGTACAGTATATGTATAAAAATTGTTAATGATGCCAAAATGCTTTCTCCTGTAGATAGCACAGTAAGGACATAATTTAAGCCTAGGTAAAGTTAATTGCTTGTAGACCAAGGACTGCCTTTTAGTGTAGACTTTTACTGAAAAATTATATTATTGCCAAGTATTATGATGTTTATGGAATTTATTTATGAAGACTCAAAAAGTTACTAAAATATTCATTTAAGATTATAGGAATTATTCAATATAAAAAAAAAAAAAAAAAAATTTAGATTGCCTATCTGACAATGTGTCCCTACATTACAGCAAAATAACTATTAGATACAATTTTGTTGCTGGTATATTAGAGCTAGGGATTCCGCTGAGCTAAGGATAACATTTCCCCCCTCTATATATCCTTTTATGGATGTCACTGGCAGGGAGATCGTGCGCCTGTATAGCACTGAACAGCTTTCTCTAACTGCTTTGTTTTGTCTGTCTGTATGCCTTTTTAAATCCCCCCAATCACCACTTGTTCTAACTGGCCTCATAAAAGTACTGTTTTCTATGTTGTGGTGTGGTTTATCTCACTACTTTATGCTAAAATGATTTCACGAGACTTTATTGGGGCTTTTAGTATAAACAATATGTGTCTAGAAATTGCAGCACATTTATGAAAGGCCAAATAAGTGTGACTCACTGTTGGTACTAAACGTATCCAGTAAAATAAATTATCTAAAAGATGTTAAAGTGGTATTAAACATAAATTTGTAAAAAAACTGACAGGCAGGGTTTTTTTTTATAGCAGAAGAAACCCTAGTGCAGGGGCGGACTGACCATTTGGAAACTCGGGCACTGCCCAAGGGCCCGGGGTCAGCAGGGGGCCCCATGAGATGCCCCTGGTACCTTTTTCATAGGATGTTTTGAGTTTCGGCAAGGACACAGGGGCCCCATGATCCCCTATTGCCCGGGTGCCCCATGAGTTGTCAATCTGCCCCTGCCCTAGTGGTTTCTTCTGTCTTAAATGCCTCCCCCTGCCTGTCACCGTTGTCATCCACTCAGTGTTATGGTGATGCATGCATGGGAAGAACGTCATGGCGGCCCAGCTATGCAAGAGGCCGAAGAGACAGAACTTGAAACAAAGTTTGGGCAAAGATTGAAGCCCCTGGGGCAAGCAGGAGCTGTGATAGTGCAGAGCTGGAGGACTCCATTTAACAGGTAAATCTGTCATAATGTGCTAGTATGGGTGTATACTAGCACATTATGGCATAAACCTGCAGGGGAGACATTTCTAAAAAAAGTTTTGGCAGAGTTTAATACCACTTTAACAAAACAGTAGATGTCACCTATCTAACTGTATACAAAATAAAATCTATGTACATAAAATATCAGTAAAGGTAATTTTCTAGTAAACATAGAGAGATTGGTTCCTTTGAGTAAGAGGGACTAGAGTAAGGGAGCGTACATAGTCTTTGCATTTACTATTATAAGACAGTTAAAAAAAACCTTTGCAGCGCAGTTGTCCAGTCCTCCCAGGACGCGCCCTCCTGCACGCCCGGGGGCACGCACCCAGCGATCTCCATGATCACTGTGTCCTACAGACACAGCAGATCACATGATGTGGTAAAAGGCCAATCACAGCAACCTTTTACCACGTGATCAGCTGTGTCCAATGACACAGCAGATCACCAGTAAATACAGTTGCCGTTTATCGGCTGCACTTTCCTCACGCTGTCACAGCGTGAGGAAAGTACTGCCGATAACTGGCAATTGTCAGAGGACGGATCGGCACCGATCATCAGGGCACTGATGATCAGTGCCCTGATGATCAGTGCCGAGCAGGGCCGCCCACCTGTGCCCAGAAGTGCCGCCCACAAGTGCACAGCAGTGCCACCCACCTCTGCCCATCAGAGCCCAGCAGTGCCACCCACCTGTGCCCATTAGTGCCAAGTAGTGCCACCCACCTGTGCCCAGCAGTGCCACCCACCAGTGCCCAGCAGTGCCACCCATCAGTGCCCAGCAATGCCACCCATCAGTACCCAGCAGTGCCGTCAGTCAGTGCCCATCAGTGCTGCCTATCAGTGCCCATCATTGTTGCATATCAGTGCAGCATCATCAGTGCCACCTCATCAGTGCCAGCTCATCAGTGCCACCTATCAGTGTCACCTATCAGTGTCCATCAGTGCCGCCTATCAGTGTCACCTATCAGTGCCCATCAGTGCTACCTATCCGTGCCACCTCATCAGTGCCGCCTATCAGCGCCCATCAGTGCCACCTATCAATGCCCATCAGTGCTGCCTATCAGTGCCCATCAGTGCTGCCTATCAGTGCAGCCCCATCAACGCATGTCAGTGAAGGAGAAAAATTGCCTGTTTGCAAAATTTTATATTAGAAACAAAGAAAAACTTTTTATTTTTCAAATTGTTTGCATTTTTTTGTTTATAGTGCAAAAAATAAAGAACCCAGCAGCAATTAAATACCACCAAAAGAAAGCTCTATTTGTGTGAAAAAAATAACAATTTCATATGGGTAGAGTGTTGCATGACTGCACAATTGTCATTCAAAGTGCGACAGCGCTGAAAGCTGAAAATTAGCCTGGGCAGGAAGGGGGTATAAGTGCCCAGTAGGCAAGTGGTTAACCCATTATTAACCCTTAGTTAACACTGGTCATCCTTCCTCCTCTTCTCCCTTTTTACGTTTTTTAGCATTTTTGTTTCTATTTTATATTATTTTTTTATTTTTTATTTGAATTTTTTGTTCATTTTCCAATGTTGCATAAAAGCAAAATGTGTAAAATAATTTAAAAAAATTATATTTGCAAATACCTTTGTTATGCTTTGTACCAGAAACAGTACGAGAGTGGTTAATGAGCAATGGTGAGTCTCTTTTTGAATAGCACAAAGTTCACTTTGGGGTATAACACCATAAAGTGAAGATTTGTGCCATGTACCTGGTTTGAGGCCAAAGTGACAAGAGGGCTTCCTTTGCAGCTAAGCACCAAGCAGACCTTGAGGTGAGAACATGGGGAGTGCAGGGCTCAAAGAAGGTGGCATTTTGTTAGATCTGCAGAGGACTGCATGTAGTAGTGTCCAGCAAGGTGGTTACCAGATAATCTGTCAAGTATGAAAAGAATGCTGGAACCTTCAGAGGTGTAGCAAGACTGAGGCAGTGGATAAAAGTGAGATGGCACTTGGGACAGGAGGGTGGTCACACTGGTAGAGCAGAACTGAAGAGGCGTCATCAGGATCAGAGCCAGGGTCATATATGGAGGATCTAGCAGGAAGTATGGTAGAAGAGTGGTAGTCAGAAATGTAGCAAAGGTCATACACAAGGATCAGGTGGAGCAGGCAAAAGGGTAGTCAGAAAAGCAGGCCAGAATCATGCATGGGTTGTCAGAAGAGACAGAGTCCTTTAAGCAAGCCAGAGTCAGAACCAGGAGTCAGGTAGCAGGAAGGTTCAGAGGCAAGCCAGTCGGTAACAAGAAGTCCAAAGAATACAGAATACACAGGAACAAGGAGTACAAGTGAGCTGAAGATCATCCAGCAATCCATTGTCACTTCTATCATCCTTTAAAAGAGCGTTTGGCACCAGTTGTGGAAGTGGGCATGCGTGGTTGAGCACCGGTGTGTGTGTCCATGCAATCCCAATGTGCCTGCGTGCATTCTTGGGCAAACGAGCATTTCAGGTTGGATCAACAGAAAATTATGAGACAAAATGTTACTTGGAGACACAGGTTCAGAAGTTTCTAGAAATATGTGGGACAAGATGTCCACTATTCTTGCACTACAGATAATAGGTGATATGGAAGCTGAATCTGGAGAAAAATAAGGTACATCTAGCCTGCCGGGGCTTCAGCTGTTTCACAGTCCTAAGGTACTCTAGGATCCAATGATGGTCATGACCAGATGAATTGCACCTTTCAACAAATACCTCCACTCTTCAAATAGTAAGCAAAGCTTTTCAGCTTACCCTAATGCTCATAGTTTAGGCAACAAGCTTTGTGAGCTTACAGCTCTTATGTCTGGGGACAGCGTGGACCTTGTTGCAATTACACAGACATGGTTCAAGTGACTGGAAAATAACTATACCAAGGTATACACTATACAGGAAGGACAGAGTAGGGAAGAGGGGAGGTGGAGTTGCTATATATGTCAAAAATAGCATAACACTAACATTAATTCAAAAAACAAAATACATACTTTAAACCCTCTGGGTCTGCCTTCCAACCAGAGAGGGATCATCCTTTAGAACTGATGTAGTATAGAGAACCCCAAGACAGACTAAAGATTATGATAACCTGATTGACAAGATAACTCAAATGGCAATGAAGGGAGAAGATTAGACTATGGGTGATGGCAACATGGCGGACATTACCTGACATTCTCAAACTACTATTACAAGCAGTAGCAGGGATGTAATGGAAGCACTGAATGGGGTTTCCCTAAAACTAGTATTAAAAAATGGGGATCAACTGTCTGATGTTTAAGTGGGAGAAAATTTGGCTTCTAGTGATCACCACCATCTTTGATTTGATATTAAAACAAGAACTGAAAAATCATATACAAAAACAAAAGTTTTAGATTTCAAAAGGACACATTTTGCTGAAATGGGTACATTTCTAAAAAATTATTTGAAAGGTTGGAGTAAAACAGGAGTAAGTAATCAGTGTGCACTGTTAAAGTCTACCATCCAGGAGGCAACTAGATTATATGTTAGACAAGTTTGTATGAATAAACGGAAGAAAAAAACAATATGGTTCACTAAAGGGGTAAGTAGGATAGTAAAGGAGAAAAAAATCAGCATATAGAAAATTCAAGGAAACAGGAAATGTAGCTGAGAGAGAAGAGTATAAAAATAGACAAAAGGAAGACAGACACATTATCAGTGCTGTCAAAGCACAGACAGAGAAGGAAATTGCTAAATCTATTAAGAAAGGAGATAAAACTTTTTTTAGGCACATCAACGATAAAAGCAAAAATACAATGGAATCACTAAAATGAAAACTGGACACACCTGGACACAACACAGACCTGGATGTAGCAAATCACTTAAACAGAAATAAATTGTACTAACAATAGCAAGTTTAGGAATCATATTGGTTCTTGTATTGACGGTTTATTTTTAGGATTTCTGGAGATAGAGGTACAAGAGGAACTGGCTCAATTAAAGCTTAATAAAGCAATGGGATCACCAGCAGGAGGAAGGAGGTCCTGATTTCCCTATATAGGTCTTTAGTGAGACCTCATTTAAAATACTGTCCAGTTCTGAAGGCCTCACTTACAAAGGGATATTGATAAGATAGAACAAGTCCAGAGACAGGTAACAAAAATGGTGAAAGATCTGAGGAATAAAACCTATTAAGCGTGACTTCAGGAACTTTATATGTACAGTCTGGAGGAAAGAAGGGAAATGAGAAGACATGATTGAAACTTTTGGATACATCAAGGGGTGAATATGGTTCAGCAGGGCAGTATTTTCAATATGAAACCAAAATCAAGAAGAAAAGGGCATGACCTTAAACTAGCTGGAGGAAAGTTCAAAACTAATCATAGAAATTATTATTTTACTGAAAGGGTTGTTGATGCTTGGAATAAACTTCAACAGTAAATGGCTTCAAACATGCTTGGGACAAACATAGATCTATACTCAGACAAAAAAGTTAACAAAATTAAAAAAAATTAAGAAAAAAAAAAAGAAAAAAAACAGGAAGACTCGGTGGACCACTCAGTCTTCTGTTGTCACTTTTTTGTTTCTATTCAAGGATATCTGAAACTTTCTGTGAACCCATAGTGATTTCATGGGTGGAGATTATTAGCCCAAAAAATTGGATGGACTGCTTTTCAAACTTGCATTTTTCCACCTTTGTACACAATTCATGCTTTCTTAGTATGGACAAAACTTTTTTTTAGATGGACCTGATGCAGTCTAGATACACGAGTAAGAAGAGGTCCATGTATTCTCTGAAGATGTTGTTTACGAAATGTTGGAAGGTGGCAGGAGCATTGCAAAGTCTAAACTGTGCTATGAGGTACTTAAAGTGTCCAAAAAAATGTCTGGAAGGTGGTCTTCTGTTCATCCCCTTCGGACCAAGTTGTAGGAACTCCATAAGTCTAATTTTGCAAAAACTTTGAGACGTCTAAAACCTCTGGAAGAGCTCAGATATAAACAGTTATATACTGTACCTGTTTCAAGCTGCCACTATTCATCTTGGCTGCGTGGTGTCCCTAGGGAGCAATTTGTAAGGATAAAAAGAAATTGTACCAGAGAAACTGATTTTGTGGTGCAATCATTGGCTTTATAAAGCAAATTCTTCCAAAATGGCTACCCTGAAGATTTTATAGACAAAGATGAAGACATCACAGGATTCTGAGTGGGAAACGGAAGAAAAACAAAAGGAAAAAAGATAAAAATTTAAAATTTACTACAATTTACTGACCAGTAAAAAAAAACTGACTGATCTCCTACCCCAGCACTCGGGTAGTTGGCTACTATATTTCCATATTTGGAATGTTTATATTTCTATGAAAACACAAGGCAACCTCAACTGTCCGTTTTCTACTTTAGAGTTGCCATGTAAGCAATCCATTCCTTCCGTGCACACAGTGCCTCTTTTATATAATCAGCTTTTAGCAGAGGCCTCTCCCACTAAACCATTCTATTTTGTGAATTGGGAAGGGAACTTGGTGTTACCTTCATGGAGAAGAATCTTGCATCCTAACCCTTAACATTTCTATCATGAGGGCAGCACAGGAGCGAAATTATACAGTTATCACAAGATGGTATTGCTGCCCTTTGCTTCTACATAAAATATTTCCAACTGTATCCGATTGCTGTTGGAGCTGCTCAATTAACGAATGCACTATGGAGCATATATGGTGGGATTGTCCCATTATATTCTCATTTTGGAATAATGTCTTTAAAATTTATAACACTTTCACCTCAGACACAATTCTCCAGACCCCTCAAATAGCATTGTTATCAATGCTTCTGGAATCTATTTCTAGAGTCAAGAAAGGAATTTTGCATTTTTTCTTAGTGGCTTCTAAGGCAGTTATATCTAGGCATTAGAGATCCCAATTAGCACCTTCTATAACAGAATGGATGAATGAGCTAAAAAACCTTATGAGAATAGAAGAACTATCAGCACAACTACATGACTGACATCCCCAATTTAAGAAAATCTGTTTTCCCTGTATACATTTTATGGAAAGTCTAAATGTATCCACCCTTTTGACCTACAGCTGTGGTTAGGTATGGTTTTTGGCCTCCTGCATGCCTTTTTTTTTATTTTCCACAGTAATGAACACTTGGATGACTAGTCCCACTTTAACTTCTTGTTCAAACTTTTTATTAACAATAAACCATAAAGTTACAAACATGGAGACTTT